GGGGGGGGGGGGGGTGGTGGAGCCAGTTATAATAATATGAGAATGAGCAAGATTATAGAAAAATTCCATGCACTGAATTTCCCTCACTTTACATTGATTAGAACAAAAATGAATAGAGAATATGTAACTCTAAGCAACTTCGTGTTGTCATTGAAGTTTTCTTTGCCACAGAAGGCAACAGTTCACAATTCAAATCAGATTTGTTTGCTACTGCATGAGCCAGAGGGCAAAGATCAGGCAGAATGTTCCATATACTCCAGTTCCCTGTCATTCCTGTTTGTGACAAGAGCAGACTCCTTAAAACTTCGTACTTAAAGTGGCTTTGTGAGTGGATGTCTCAGGCAGTACACTTCTCAGAGAGTCTGCAGTCCCAGGGTGCTTTTTCCAGCATCTTTTGAATGGCAGGGCAGCTTAGGAGCACCTGGGACTCTTAGGGGCTTAGCAGCTCTTCACTGTCAATAATGGTAATGTCTGGGGGCTCTGCAGCAGGAACGTGAAAGCAATAAGAGCCAGATTTCCGGAACTTCCAGGATTTTATCATCAATTCTCAGAGCTGAAATCCTGAGATTTTGGCGCTAGGAAGAACTCTGGCTATCATGCTCCTTTCTCCTAGGTGTTAAGCCTAGAGATCATGCTGGGTTAATTCTATTATGTGTAGTCATCCTTGCTTCAGTTTGACCTTTCTTCAGTTCTGCTATGTCCTTTCTGAGGTAAAGAAGCGCAAACAATGATTAAGGTTTGAACCCTTTGGTGGGATCTGATGGCATAATGGTGATCTCTGTGTTGTTTGTTCCTTTCCTAATTATTCCTACCACTTCAGTTGGTTTATTGACTGTTTCCCAGCACTGTGCTGATGTTTTCATAAAACTATTTGTTACAAATCCAAAGTTTTCAAAGATGAGTTATGATGGATTGGGGGCCATCATTTTATGTAAACACAGAACTGCTTTCCCTGTGTGCATCTCTACAGAATTTCCTTGTCATTTTGTTGTCTAATAAGGTCCTGCAATCTTTGCACTGTCCATCTTTGTCCTTACAACATGGAGCAGCTTAGAACATCAGTAAACTTCCTTACTTTCCAGTTGAGGACTCCATTAATAACCTTTCTATATAATAAGAATTGTTAGTTCCTACATTATCTCTCTTTCCTCCTTTCTCTCATTTATGGCTGCTAGTTTCCTAGTATGTCTACAGAAAGCGACTTTGTTACAAATAGAATAATTAAATCACCCATGAGCATGTTGTTGTTGAACTCCTTTAATGAGCTCCCATAGGTTTATAAGACAGGATTGCATTTTACAGATGCTGACTCCTGCCAGTTAGTTCTCATTTATGTAGAACTTGTTTATATTAGATATCTTTTATACTTACACTATTCTTTTAATCTTTATTATTGTTTCTACACATTGCATGATATAGATTTGAGTATTAAAGTTCTCTTATTCTCTTGATCTTCCCCAATTTTTTTTGACATATTGGTGTTCGATTTGTCACCATCCATTTCTCAGGTCCCAGGGTATTTTTAAGTGAGAATGCTATTTTATCTATCTATGTATCTATCTATCTATCTGCATTTTTTTTCTTCCCTTGGTACATCATGAGAATGAGGTAAAGGACCTCCCAGAAAGTTGCCTTGACAGCAGCTGTCATCCAGGTACAAATCTTGCCACTAGTCCCATCAAAAGAAGTTTATAGAACTTCACAGAATCACAGAATGGAAGGGGTTGGAAGGGACCTCTGTGGGTCATCTAGTCCAACCCCCCTGCTGAAACAGGGTCACCTAGAGCAGGCTGCAGAGGACCTTGTCCAGGCGGGTCTTGAATATCTCCAGAGAAGGAGAATCTACAGCCTCCCTGGGCAGTCTGTTCCAGTGCTCCATCACCCTCAGGGTGAAGAAGTTCTTCCCCATGTTCAGACGGAACTTTGTGCCCGTTGCGCCTTGTCCTGTCACTGTGTTACCAAAAATCCGGGAATAAAACCTCGTAACACCAATGTAGTGTTAAAAGGCAGGCATTCTTTATTGCGGCACCGGATGCATGGGGGATAATTCCACCGAACGTGCATACCCCATACCCCTTCCGTGCAGTTTATATAGATCAAAATATACATATTCATCTGATTACATAAGCTCTTTCTTTCATAGTCAAATCACTCCATTTTCATACACTCCTCCACCTGCGCTGCGCAGTGCCTCCTAGTGGTGGTCGTCGGGGGTCCCAAGGTGAAGGCTTATCCTCTTCATCACAGTTTCTGCGCAAACTCAGTTTTCTTCTGGCTTCCATCCACACAGTGGGGTCATCTTGACCGGTTCTAGGCGACTCCTAGTTTTAATTAAAACTAACTTCTTCGGTGGGAGATGTATGACTCTTTGCTTCAGTTAACTTACACAATAGAGAGATACCACAAATGCACCTGCAACTATTAGGTAATGCTATTTCTATTAAAAATCCCCCTCCACCATTATTGTTTAACATTAATGATTACCTAGAGACTAAACCCTCTGTTCCCGGACCTAATGTCCGGATGGGCAGGGCTGTCCAAGGGACATAGCAGCATTGTTCATATGTATGGTTAACTGAGTCCATCACCTTGGTTACAACTGGGCACCAGTGAAAAGAGTCTGACCGCATCCTCTTGACATCCGCCCTTAAGTTATTTATAGGCATTTATAAAGTCCCCCTCAGTCTTTTTTGAGATATTTATCTCAAAATCAGAGAGTGATTTTGAAAGCTTCAAAGTGTGAGCTTCAGCCACTAAACTTTTCTTATTCTTCTTGCTTAAATGCAGGACTAATGCAAATCAAGTTACCTTTACCTAGTCTAAACTCTCGTTCCATGTGGTGTCCCCTTCTCCAGTTCCCTTTCCCATCAGAGACTTTAGCTGTTGCTTGTGTGAGAGAAATTTGTTTTTTCCACTTCTTAGTTACTCGGCTTTACTACTTATTCTGAAGGTGTTTTCATTAATTTCTTTGTCAATCTTCAATGAGAACATCTAGATCTGCCTCACAACAAGCATAACAAGATGACCAAATGTTTAACTCACAAAAACCTGTTCAAATTGGGGAGCATAAAGTAAATCAGTTGTTAACTTAGGGTAATACTATAAGGAAAGAGAACTTTCTGTGCTAGTGTGTGTGGGAAGAAAGATTAAGCTGCATGATGAGGTCATAAAAAGCAATAAGGACTCAATATTGTTCTTTTTCTATCTATATAGTTCTTTTATTAGAATGTTTTAAGGTGCTCTTAGGTGAAAGATTAAACTGCAACAAAATATTTCAGAAGAAACAAATTATTTTCTTTTCTAGCCTCCTTCTCTTACAAAGACTCTAAAATGTGCTCCTGAAATTAAATTTATGAGTCATTTCTGAGTCACAAATTTGTGTCTAACTATTTAAACTATTATTATTGTTATTATTATTATTTTGCCTAGGAGACAGACGAGTATAAATGTGGAATTCACTAGTCGATTTCTGCGCCCTGCTGAAGCGGTGTTGTTATTGATCTCAAAGAGCGTGGGTGGAATAGAGGGTGTCACACTGGCATTCTCTCTGAAATCTGAAGTCAAGCATATTGAGCCTGCTGTAAGTTTATGCATATGTGGTTGATATTGTTACAAAAATGTTGTTCAGCTGTGTGTTGTATGAAACAAAAGTGAACTGAGGTAACATCCAGAGAAAAGCCTAGAGAAATATCTAAGATTCCTAAGGATATAAATCACACATATCCTGAAAGAATGCAAAAATTTTGCACCAATTGCTCTGAAAGTAAATCTGGAACCCTTTCAGCATAAGAATGCTTTTGGAAATTCTGTTGCAGAAGTGGTGGTATGCCCCTTCAGCCTAGTGATTTCAGCTGTCAGATGTAAATGGACAGCAAGCTTTTCTTAGATGTTGCTAGGTTTATTTGAGTTTTTTAACTTTAGACAGTCTTTAGATTTAAGATATATCCCAGAAATAGTCAGAGCAGAGATAGGCATGTGTTCCAGCATTTGTTATCAAACATCCATTGAGCAGATTTGCATAGATCCTTTTCTGAACTTAGATGGTGTTTATGCAATTCTTTTTTTATATATGACTTTCTTTGTACTATAGCAATAGACATTGATGTTAAAAAGCAAGGTTGGGGCAAGAGAAAAAAATAGGGGACATGTAAAGATTTGAAGGAAAAAAGGCAGCGTGATTCTTGCCCCTGTGCTGTCATTTGGAAGAGCATTTAAAACATGGTAAGTGTAATGTGTGTTTAAAAAGAAATAGGCTTTAACTGTTCTTTGCTGACAGCAAAGCCCAGAATTTCAATTATGTTAATTTTGTAGTCACCAGTGGTCAAACACATGATTCTATTCTTCTTTGTAGTATTTTCCGGTTTGTTTATGTATTATACATGAATGTAGTTTTGCAGCTTTTTCATACTGATATAAATTTTTGTTCTTTTAGGATATATTAAAATGCGAATCTCCATGTTATGAGCTGAAGAAAGTTATCCTAAATGTTACTAATCCCTTCGGATCTGGTGGCGTATTCAGGTAGACAATGCTGTAAAGACGAGTCTTTAATGGTCATGCTGTTTTTTCAATTCTTTTTCTTCTTCTCCTTAAAAATGTAAAACCTTGAGGTTAAATTATAGGGATTTACATTACCAAAATTTTTATAAGCACTATGAAGTGGAAGCTATCATAATGAATAAAGAAGATAAATAAGCCTTAATTGAAATCCATCTCAGTGTAAGCATTAAAGCTAGAGCTTTAATCAAATGGCGTTCATGAACCTTGCTTGTATTTTTGTGTTTGGCTGACGTCCTGCAGAATTCCAAAGAGAAACAAACCATGTTAATTAATAGTTGGTTATTTTTCCCCAATCTGCTTTATCCTGCTGTTTAAATTATTAAGCATGCAAAAAAAAACAACATGCTTTTGCCTTGGGGCTCGCATCACTATCAGTTAATCTAATTTTTCATTTGTATTCATCATAAATGTAACAACTGCAGAGTTATAAATGTTGCTTTACTTAATACAAAAGAAATAGAGTGTTGTGTTTTCCCTGATGCTGGCTTTGCCACAGAAGGCAACAGTTCACAATTCAAATCAGATTTCTCTGCTATTGCATGAGATCTGACATTTATGTGACCTGACTCCATATTTTGTCTTCAGTCTAAACAGCTAAGCATTGGTTCATGTCATTCGTTTATTTACAAGAACCTTTTTCCATAAGAATTTTAGCATGTTTTACTGATCTGTTTAATATGCATGTGGCAAAGGCTGAAAACTAAATTTCTATTTCATCCACAGAATGGGTTTGATATAGACATCTGTAATAGGACTATTTTCACTGCTCCATCAAAGTGCTCTGGCATAAGCCTCCTACGTACGAGTCATACGAGTGTTTAGCTTCTGTCTTTTTTAAAGTCTTTGAGGTGGTCAGAGAGGCTGCCCGTAATCTGTTCTATGATGTGGATAATACTTTTGGAAAGAATGGATTAAAGGTGATGAAGTATTTTAGTTTTAGGCATATAATTCAAAAGCTACTTGACAACTACTTGAACTAATTATCAATTTGGGCATCATTTGAACCAATAATCCAAAATAAAAGATTCTCTGCATCATGTTTCCAGTGTTTTGAACCATCTAGTGTTTCATTGTGGGTGTATTGCTAAGTTGCAAATAACACCAGGAAATGCACTTGTGATACCAAGGAAGTAGCTCTTTTACAGAAAATTGGGCTGAAAATCTTAAAACTAGATGTATAATGTAGCACCTTAAACTAGTCCTTGCATAGCATTTGGCTGTTTGTTAGAGGTTACCCATCCTGTCAACTAAATAATGTTTTCTGTTTTTATAGTTCCTAGATTTTAATATTTATGTATAGATATAAATTTTAAAAACTACTAAACTTTGATACTTCATTAAGAAGAATTAGTTGAATACTTTTAAAATTATCCATTGCATTTCTTTGTGAAGAACTGCAGCTATATCTCTCCCAAGAATAGAAAAGTATTTCTGTAATAAAAGATACTATAGTAAGTAATGGCCGTTATTATTATTTTCTTAAATGACAGATTAAACGCTTGGACAGAGAATCAGCTACTGCTGATGTAAATGATCATAACTCTGTTGAAAAGTTTGAATTCCAGTCCACGGCTAGTGCAAAGCTAGTTGACATTGGCTTTTGTATTCTCATGATGTACTCTATAATCTTCTGTTTTTACTGTCTGTGAGTGCAGAAAAAATGCAGAAATCTGGTTTAAAATTAATGAAATCTGTGTGCCTGTGCCATGTAACAGAAATTCTACTGCGATACCAAAACTAATTCTTGACTAATGGCTAACATTAGGTCAATGGATTATCCAATATTCAGAATGGAAATAACGAGTGCACGATTTAATGTGTGTAAAAGAAAAGAGGATCAGAATCTTCTAGGAAAAACTAAGGAGAAGCAGTTGCTTGTGGTTTGTCAGGGAAATCACAATTTATCTTAATAGCTTCATTATTTACAAAAGCAAAATAAAATGAAGTTAGCTTTTTTCTTCAAATGTAAATGAATTGATTATAAATTATTTAATTTTGTACAAATCATAGTATAAATTATATTTTAGAAAGTTACTTCCAATTAAAATGTGTATATAATTGGTCTTCATATTGAAGTGGCCATTATTTTTCTGGTTTTTAATTTTTCTGTTTTTAAAAAAATTTTTTAAAAGAAAGCTGGAGATTGGTCTGCATGTCATGATAAGGCTGTGGGCCATATCTATGTTTATAAATCAACCTATGTTATTGATGAAGAAGTAGTTTAAAATATTTCCCAATAACCCGTGAACAAGTGTCTCAGGATTTTGCATGCTTACATGAGCTTTAAAAATTATTTGACTTAAATTGTGCAAAATATTTTAAGTTATTAAATGAAGAACAATTAATAAATTATTAAATAAATAATTAAAAAATCTGTTTAAAAAAATTTTACAGTACTTTTAATGTATTTGCAATTGAAAATAATAAGATTCTTTAACAAAGCTTCATTTAAAGGTTAGAATAAACTGAGTTTTGTCTTTATTCTGGAAGTTGAAAATGAGGTAATTATGTGTACTTGACATACTCCAGGGTCATTTTGCTGGAGTCCACAAGTTACTTAATGCATCCAGAGCAAGTATATCAAGCCAGACAAGTAAAGCAAGAGCAAACGTTCAGGTAAGTTCTAAATGGCAATTACTGATTGTAATATGTTGGATTATATAATTCTATTAGTATTATAACTTTGTGTATAGCTGTGTACATACCCATTGTAAAGAATTATAGATTGGAACATGGAAATATTGTAGAATTATGTAAAATTTTATAAATACTTTACAGATCATGCACTCAAACAGTGGAGAAAATGTAGATATTGTATAAAAGAAAAATGTGTGTAATGTGCCGTTTGGAAAAAAGTATTTGAGAAACCAGGATTGAAAGGTGAACTATTGATGCTGGGATAGGGGCAGCCATGGTGACTTCGGTGACTGAAATGCTGAAAACTAGTTCCAGTTCACTGCAACAAGATTAGTTATGATTCTTGCAATGAAGACGGTAGAGATAATTGAAGTTGCAGCTGTAAGGCCAAGTCGTTATTTATAAATAGTCTATCTGTATAATTCTAATTGTGCTGAAGTGTAAAATGTTGCAGGTTCAGTAGACTCCTGGAGATGACAGAACAGAATAAGGGGGTTTTATATATTGATACAAGTTAGTATAATTTTGTGTCTAGACATTATTGCTTAGCTAACCATGGACAGATTATCTAACATAGGAAATCTGGAATCAGAAGGAGAGTTCAAAGTAAACATGGTAAAGATAATAAAATGCAAAAAATAAAAAAGAGAGCAATGGGAATGGGAGTCAAGGAGAGATAGAAAGAAAAATCTGTGCTAAAGACTTATAGTCCAAAAGAAAGTATTTCTGCCTTCACTGTCTTTAATTGTTAGTCAGTGAGATAAATACCAAGAAGCTTAGATGAACAGGCAGAAATCTTTGTGAGCATTGAAGAGGTGAGATGTAAATCAGAGTCACTGATAGTCAAGGTTAAAGAAGAAAGAGAGAATTAAAAAGGTTTGAGGAAAAAAAATTTGTGGCACTCTGTAGAAGTGGCCCAGCATAGAGAAAGAGCTACCACAAATATCTAAAATAATGTTTGGAAGTTGCCAGTTACTAAGAATTGCACTGCTATTTTAATAATTGACAGTTTAATAACTCTATTTTTCAGTCATAGACTGAAAGTGCTAATTCTAAGTCTTTTTGATGATAGATTTTGCATTCAAATATTGGGCAATTTATTTATAGAGAACAGTATCTCCAGTCTTCTGTCACTTTAACTATGTTTTATAATTATTTATCCATACAAGAGTATTTATAATCATCACTTAGAATAGTATAGTAGCTAAAAAACAACCCCAACAGAAGTGAGAAGTCAGCTTACAGAAAAGATAGCCAAAGTGTAACTGATCAGGTTTCTTCTCATAGAGGCAGGCTCTAGCTTTGAAAACACACCATCAGCAGTCCTCTGTCCTCTCACAAGACGTGTGAAAAATACTCCAACCCAGAAATACTGTCAAGAAAGAATACTGCAGCCACCAGAACACTATCACATAGACACTAGCTGGACGCATTCAATGCCATTCTGTCCCTCATTTGTGTTCTGTGGGCTGCGCTGATTGTCAGTGTCCTGAGCACTATGTGCACTTACAGCTAAGCTACACTTAGCAGATATGCTACAATAGGTGAACCTCCGGTAATTAATGGTTGTTAGTTCTGAAATGTGCAGCCATCATCAGCACAATGATTTTCATACAAAACCTGCAGATATGTTTAGAAAGGCCTGTATCCAACGGGAAATAGCCATACCTATCTCATGTAATGCATGCTAGAAAAAAAAGTCTGGTCATAACTACCAGTTGCTCTGATAAGATCTCCAAACTCAGCCTACTAAACAGATGTTGGATAGCTTTGATTGGATGTTACTTCTGTTCGTATTTTTTGCCAAAAAGACATTTGGTCTTTTCTGTATGTAATTAAATATGTGGTGTAATAAAGAATCAATGTTCCTGTCTCCTATGCTATCAATTCTTATGGGTGAGATAGATAACATTTAGAACTCAAATGCTATTAGCATATGCCAGAGTAAAGGGCTCCATCTTCAATTTAAACAAGAGAAGAAATAAACTGGAAGCTGTATAACTCTAAATGTTCTCTTAGGGCAGAACAGTGATTTTCTAGAACTACTGTCCAAGACCTCTTACAAAGAAAGAAAAAATAATAGCACCACTCTGGTAACTCCATCGATGTCTACAGATTTAACTAGTATATTGAACTTAGAGGCATCAGAAGCTGTCGAAATAGATTTTTCATCATCCTGCATATTTCAGCTTAATTTATTCCTCAGTCTAAAAAGTGTAATTTTAGTCATACATCCAGACCTCGCTCTTACAGAAATTGATTTGAGAGCATTTTAAGTCTTCAGAAATTTCCAGTATTGATTCACTACAATTAGAGATGTTTCAGTTACCAGTAATAATATAAGCCACTTAGGTGCTCTTTTTAAGAAGATTTTTTTCTTGAATGGGACACAACAAACTTCTGAAGTTGTGTTAAAAAAATTAGTATGTGTGCTATTGATAACTGATTAGTAAGAAAGTTGTACCTGCAAACTTTTTTATTCTTTTGATGAATCCAAAAATGCCTACAAAACGGGGCCCATTGCGCTAAGTGCTCTGTAAGCATAAAACTACCCTAAAATCAGTGCTTATACACTAAGTAATTGCATCTACATGACTGATGTCATTTGAATGCTTTGATCCTAATAACTGAATTATCCATGCAGGTCCAAGTGGGTCTCCTCAGTCTGTGTCCTCATACTATGCCCCCAGATATTTCAGGCACATCAATTTAAACCTCACTGTAACGAGCTCACCTGGCAGGTAGCCCTCTTACCTACCACCTTTCCCCTCCTGCAGTATCACAGCCACCCAAAATGATGTCATTCAAACCAAAGAGGAGACCAACCCTTTAGTCATCGTGGCACGTGCTCATTGTAGTGTGTGGAAAGATATCCCAATCTGAAGCTAGAGCCCAGACAAACTATGTCCTTACTGGGACACAGTGCTGTCTAAGCTAAAAAAATCTAACAGTAGCCCAGGTCTGAGGCTGAGTGTCATTCAGTGTTGCAGGCAAGACCACTTTGTCCATGGGGAGCTGAATGATGTTTGATGAGAAGAATAGTGTTTTTCCTTTCATCCAGTTGGCATAGTTTTTCTTTTAAGTATACTGTGATACATGTGCCTGGACTTTTTCAAGTTATGCACTTTTCTATGCTTTTCCAAGCCCTTGACACTTCAGTTATTATCCTTGGCCTACATCTGTGTGCCAGCGTGGTCTGCTCCCTCTGGGAGAAGGAGAAGCAGGTGGAGAGATGCACACCACATGGCCCAGGAATTCTAATATAAAACTACTCATAAGTAGTTTTCAAGCATGTTGGTATTTTGACTGATGTCCATTGAAAAGATGAGTGTTGAATGAAGGTAGAAGTTCAAGGTTACATTTAATAGCTAACTTTTCCATCATAGATTTCCTTTAGTAAATCTAGGAAGTGATAAATGTATACTAATGAATCACTAATAGTCCTATTCTAAGACCATGACTAAGCAGTTTAGAGTATGCATTGCAGTGTCCATGAGTCATAAGGATGGCTCGTGATTGTACAGACTGATTTGAAAAAAAAGCTGTGAATGTGGATAAATATTTTTACATCAAGAAAGACATTATAAAACAAAAAGGAACCATTAATTAAGGAATTTCAAGTTAAGCTCTGCAGAATACTCCTTATAGCTTCTTAATGTTATTTACTTTATTTTTAACCAGAGATAATATCAGGAATTCCAAATATTTTTAATTTGCTGAATTTTTTTCTTATGCTTTTCGTTCTAAGCGGTTTCATGTGTCAAAGAAAGAGTTATGTTAAACAGAATACCTGCATTTACTTACTAATAGCGTAAAGAAAAAATTTAGATCTAAAAGGTTCCATTATGTCTCTGTGTAATATAGGTTATGAGATACAGCAATAATACCTATTGTTTCAGAAACTGTTGTTTGGAAATATACTATCAGGAGTCATCAAAATTCTGAGTAATATTTGTTATATTAGAAATTGATCTATGTTTATGTAAGCCATACTACCTCTTTTGAGCAGCTCCTGTTTTACTTTCTATCCTAGTCTTTGTTCTGAGATCACAAACTATCCCATGGAGTGTGGTAACTGGCAAATATCTTAGATGTGAGCTTTGTCTTCCAATGTTTCAGTATTTTCAGTGCGTTAGTAAGCAATTTCTTGTGTCCTTTCTCTCTCTGATAAAACGTTTGCTTGCTTCTGTCTTCTAAAGTTCATTGATGAAGTTGCTGCTATGTGGATTTAAGCTTTCCCCATTGTGCCTGGCACTTTTTAGTTTTCTTTTTGCTGCAGTAATATCGAAAATCTGGAACTAGAAGGGACTAAATAGATGATCTAGTAAGTTCTGCTCCAAATACAGAAAGCAAAGTAATTTTCCTTTTCTGAGAAACTGATAGATGGAAAATGGAGTTATTGGCTTGTTTGGACCCTGAACTGAAGGGTAAAGGCACGCCATTGCGCATGTATAGCTATGATGACATGATGATGTATGCATACTATCTATGTTGACTGCATGGATGATTTTGCTTTTGATCTTGATTTTTGACATACCTGATAACATGGAAAACCCAGTCTGTGGTGCTATGTAGGAAGAGGTAACTGGCAACTCAGAGGTGATAGCTACTAAACTGTCCCTTACTGGCGCACAGGTATGTAAGTAATTTGTAGTACAAGTTTGAACCAGTTAAACTAAACCATGGCAAGAATGAGTTGGAAGTATTCACACCTGACATTTTCTCTGTCTCAACCAGGTCTTTGTACTAAGCGATGGGGAGGTGCCTCCTAAACCAACCCTCACCTGTAACTTACTCTTGCAGAACTTTTTGTTCATTTAATGCGTGGTAAAATAACCTGGCTTCAGAAGGGACAAGGTGTGTTTGCAAAAAAACCAATACAAGTGAGAGGCAGTCTGTGAAGTTACTTCATCACTATTCCCCCTGTTAAACTGAGTCACTTCTAATACCTTGAGCTATCAGACTTAGAAGCCTGATCC